CGTCGATTAGTGAATTGTCCGTTTTCGGTTCTCGAGAGGGCGCCGTGGCCGTTATTTTCCAGGCTTGCGCTCGCCAGGTTTGGGCCTCAGGTCGTTTTCACTAAACCACGTTTTACTCAAGGGAGGTCTGTCCATCCCCGATACAAGATTGGAAGGAACAACTTGGCGAAGCTGGATGCAGTAGAGCTGGATCCAGCCATCGCTGGGTTCTGTTGAAGCTGGATCCAGCCTTTGTGGGATGCCATGCGAGCTGGACCGAACCCACATCGGATTTCATTGTACTCAGCCCTGGCAGAAGGATTCTCTCAGAGCTGGATCCAGCCCGAACGGGATTCTGTTACATGTAGATCGCACTCTGTCAGATTTGGCGCCTGGCGCGGGCGTTGAAGACTGGTGCGCCGCCGCTGACGTCGAAGGCGTCGTACATCGTCGTCGTCGTCGTCGTCGTCGTCGTCGTCGTCGTCGTCCTCGTTGTCGTCGTCCGCGTCGCTTGTTGGCGGTGGCGACGTCGTCGGCGTCTTTGTCGTCTTTGTCGTTGTCGTCGTCTTCGTCGTCGTCGTCGTCGCCAGGGGCAGCGGGCGGGGGGGTTATCGACGCTTCGAATAATTTCCCCGCCGGGGAGAGGGAGGGGGGTTTTGACCTCCGAGCGTCCCCTTCTGCGCTTTGCGGGGGAGGGGGAGGGGGGAAGGTCAGGGGGGGATGTCCTCCTCCTCCTCCTCCTCCTCCTCCTCCTCCTCCTCCTCCTCCCCTGGTTTCTGACCCCCCCGTTAGGATTTGCTTTCCGGGTTCCCGTGGGTTGAAGAGAGCGTTTTCTACCGCTACTGGCTGGCAAGCCGCTCCCCCCCCTGGATTCGAATCGGGGGGGGGGCGAGGTACAAAATTCCCCCCCCTTCGGAACCAGTGTGGGGGGGTCCCCCCCGGTTAGGACCAGGAAAGGAGGTGACAAACCTCAAACAAATTCAAACAATGCTCAAACCAAACCAATCCTCAAACCAAGCCAAACAGTTCTCAAACCACACCAAAAACGAGGTCCCTGAGCGCGGTGGACGCTTGCACCACCATGCCACCAGCTCAGAGAAAGCCCCACCAAAGCCCTAAACAAAGCTTGAACCCGCGCGGGCGGGCGCGGCAAGTGGGGCACGTGAAGCAAGCGGTGCGCAATTCGAACGGTCGCGCATGACGTCGCCCTTCTCGCACAGGTGCTTGCCCCCCCCCTCCCTGGGCACCTACGGCGGACCTCTGATGGCGTCCTGGGATGCCGGCGATGATGATGATGATGATGATGATGATGATGCTGATCATGATCATGATCATGATCATGATGATGACGATGACGATGACGACGGTGATGGTGATGGTGATGGTAATGGTGATGGTGATGCTGATTATGGTGATGATGCTGGCGATGATGATGCTGCTGCTGATGCTGATGATGATTGGGATGTTAGTGATGGTGATGTTGATGATTATCACGATGACGATGACGACGACGGCGATGATGATGGTGGTGGTGATGATGATGGTGATGATGAGGATGGCGATGGTGATGATGATGATGGCGATGATGATGAGGAGGAGGAGGAGGAGGACGCTCCATCTTTGAGTGACGGTTTCCTGTAATGTCCGCCCGCCCGACGAGCGTTATCAATGGAGGTGATATTTCCCCAAATCTCGTCCGATCGCAGAATGAAGGCTGCATGTAATGTCCCACCCGCCCGCCCGATTGAACGCCCCATCAGTGAGTTAATCGCACATGTAATGTCCCGCCCTCACGAACGGCGTCCCTGTGGTTGTGAGATCTGTTCTCCCAATCTTGTCCCATCACCGAGTGAAGGTTGCATATCATGCCGTGCCCGATGCCGTCGCCATCGCCGTGCCGTCACAGTTTCCGCCGCCGTCGTCGTTGCAAGCTCAAACAACGTTCAAGCAGCATTCGAACAACGCCCAATCATAGCCCACACGCAGCTCAAACACAACCCAGACAATGCTCAATCCACGCCCAAACAACACTCATACACACCCCACACAAAGCTCAAACGGTCAACGATCACTCAAACAAAGCCCACGCAAAGCCCCGACCCAGCTCGGACACCGTACAAAACGAGAAGCACGCTTGCGAGCGCAGTAGCAACGTCGCGCGTACTGGGCGCGCGCGGAGTTCGCGCGCGGCCGTGCCGGCGCACACGCATACCTGCAGACAGCGTGAGCACGTGTCACCTGTAGTGCTGGAGTGGCGTGTGAAGTGAGGGGTGTATTGATTGTTTGCTTAGGCCGTTGAGTAGGGAGAGGGGCATGTCGTCACGCATTTTGTACATATTTGCGATTGTAGGGGTGAGTTCAGCCAGGGGTGAGTTAGGAGGGGGGGCATGCGGGAGCAGGGCGCCGGTGGCCGTTTTGGCTATAGGCGAGCCGAGCTCGAGACGCGTGTCGGGTTCTCGAGCCACTTTCGCACTCCCCCCAGGTGCCGCGATGGACCCATCCCCGCAGGAGCTCTCGGAGTTCGACTTGGACGGCCTCCTGGGATGGGTCGGCGTGCAGGACAGCTTCAAAGAGGCGTTCCTCGCGGCGCTTGGGGGGCCCACCCTCCTACGGCACATCGTTGCCATCCCAGCAGAGCGGTACTCGAGAGCAGTATCGCATCTCAAGGTCGGCGTCGTGGCCCCTGGGGCCGGAGAGGGCCAAACGGTCACCACCGCGAGGGACCCCACCCCGGTCGAGCAGGGCAAGATGGTGGAGGTCCGCCGGCTCGCCCGCCTCGCTGTGGGCTTGCCGTCGGAGGCGGGGCCCTCCGCGACGAGCGAGAGTCAGGGCGGGGCTTCGCCCGGGGGCGCCGCCACGACTGCCCCGCGCAGCGGCCGGAAGATCAAGCTGTCGACGGTCATCGACCAGGCCGACGACACGGAGATCGACCCTATGGACGCGGCCGCCCTCCGGGGCCTCATCCAGAAGTGGAAGACCAGCCACGACGACGGGGAGGGCCCGGCAGAGGAGGAAGAGGCCACCGGGGAGCAGCTAGCCGCCCTCGCCTTCCGGGTGCAGTCCGGGGCGACCCCGTACGTCGACATGGGGATCTGGCGCCCGAGAGGGGCCCGGGTCGCTCGGACGCTCAAGTTCCAGGCCTACATCCCCCAGCCGACCGGGGGATACCAGCAGCGCGAGTACAGCGGGCCGGCCTCGCTGCAGGAGTGGCTGCGCTCCTGGCGGGTCTTCTCGTTCGCGATGGAGGTCCTGGGAGAGGCCAGCCGGACGCGCCTCGACAGGTACCAGCAGAAGGTGTGCGAGCTCGCGGAGGACTACCCGCAGTACTGGTTCATCGTGGCGCTCGCGGACATGCACATGCGCAGCGAGCACCTAGAGCGCATCCGGAGGCGGTGTGCCAAGGAGCACAAGGACCCCTGTGACGGCGAAGCTGCCCTCCGCGTTCGAGCCGGAGCACCCTTGGGACTACGTCCTCAGGGAGGCCGCGCGGGACGACACCTTCTGGGGCAAGGAGGTCGACAAGAAGGCGCTCAGGTACGCGACGCACGTGCAGTCCCTGGCCTCGGTGACCGACGACGGTGTCGGGCCCCTGCGGGAGGTCGCCAGGGGCAGCAAGCGGGCGGCCCAGCTCGCCGAGGACGCCGCGGGCAGCCCGGGCCAGAAGCGTCCCAAGCGGGGCCGGGGGGCCGAGCTCACCCCGCGCGCGGGCGGCCCGGAGGCGGGCGCCGGCGGCGGCGGGAGGCCGCCGTGGCAGAACGGGGGAGGCGGGCGCGGCGGCGGCGGCGGCAAGGGCGGCGGCCGGGGGCCCGGCGCAGGCGGCAAAGGGGCCGGCAAGGGCAAGGAGGCCCGCACGTCGGACGGCCGGTACTTCCGGACAGCAGAGGGCGTGCAGATCTGCTGGGACTGGAACCGGAGCCCGAGCGGGTGCGCCGAGCCGTGCCCGATGCACCGCGCGCACGTCTGCGAGTGGTGCCGCCAGCCGCACCGCACGATCGCGTGCCGCGCCATGGGCTGACTAGGGCCCGCGGCGGGCCTTGCCCCACCTGCAGAGAGTGCAGGGTGGCCCGCGGGGGAGCGCCCGGAAGAAACGGGCAGGGGGCCAGGGGAGTCGGCTGCCGGTGGCTCGCCTGGAGGCGGCGGTGGCCGCGGCGGTCCGCGCGTCGCGCTTGCCGAGAGTGCGCGCGGGGGCGCTGGGGAGTGCCCGGGAGAGGCGGGCGAAGCGCCCGGGGAGGCGGCCGTTGGCGGCCCGCCTGGAGGTGGCCGTGGTTGCAGCGGCCCGCGCGTCAAGCTTGCCGTGAGCGCGGGCGGAGACGCGGGGGAGTGCCCGGGAGACGCGGGCGGGGAGCTGGGGGAGGCGGCCGCCGGCGGTTCGCCTGGAGGTGGCCACTGCCGCGGCGGCCCGCACCTAGCGGAGGCGGTGCACACGCAGCCCGCGCTGGGCATCGCGCGCGACAGCGGCGTCGCCGCGCCGGCTCAGGCGCGCGGCTCGGGGAGACCCCGGGGGAGGTGTGAGCTCGCTTGAGGTAGTGAGGCTGCGGGGAGGGTGCGGCAGCGCAGAGGGAGGGGGGGGAGAGAACCTAAGCGCGCGCGAGTCGTGTTCGGTCCTCGTTTTTCGTGTCTGTGTGCGTGGTGTCCTCCCCCCCTCGCTCTTCCTCTCCCTCTCCTCTCGCCTCTCCTCCTCGTCCGTCCCCCGGCACGTCTGGTGGTTGACTTCGGGAGTGTTCGCTGCGGCCAGAGAGTGGTCGTGCCTGCCGGCGCTTGGGAGGTACCGCCGGCGCGACGAGTTGCGGTGCTGGCGCTCGAGGGAATCCGCCGGCGCGACGAGTTGCGGTCCTCGGTTGGGCTGCCGCGTCCTCGCCGAGAGCTTTCCTGGGTGCCCGTCTGTGTGTGTATGTGTGTTGTGTGTGTGTGTGTGTGTCCTTCCTCTGCCTCGCCCCCTCCTCCTCGCCTTCCCCCCTCCTCCCTCGCTCCCCTTTTTTTGTTTGCGTGCTTCCCCTCTTTCCCGTCCGCCGCCCCGACAGGCGGACGTCTCCAGCGAACGGCTGGTGAGGACCGGGAAGTGGGGCAACGCCTTGGTGCGCGCCCGGGCAGGCCCGAGAGTGGCCGGCCCGGCGCCCAGCGACACGGCAAACAACCAGCCGGCAGAGCCGGCCAAGCATGTGAGGGAAAGGGAGAACCGAGAGTGCATAGGGGGCATGCGCGACCCCGCGAGGGCCGTGGCGCGCATGCCCCTGCTGCAAGAAGCGGGGAGGAGGGTCCGTGGCGCCCTCGAGTGCTTCCTGGAGAAGCATTGCTGGGTCGTCCGTGCCCTGCTGGAAGGCGGGGCCGACGGCTGGCGCCGAGTGGAGGCCCGAGTGGGGCAGGAGTTGGCGGTTGCTCTAGGGGAGGCGTTGGGGGCGGAATCCACGGGCCGAAGCCGGCGCTCGGCGTGGCGGCCCGGCCTCGTGCGGGCCTTCGTCCGGGCGGCCAGGGATCCCGAAATCCACTTGGCCGACTGGCTCGAGCATGGGGCTCCGACGAGCGTATCTCTAGAGATCCCGTCTGCCGGGGTGTTCCCGAGAGTGGAAACTACCGGCGCGGCCCACCACGAGTTGCGAAAGCATTGTGCGTTGGTGGAGCCCGGGGGGAATTACGCCAGCGTGGAGGAGAACGAGGGCGCCGTCCGGGAAGAGATACGGCGCCTCGCGGGAAAGGGCTTCGTCACGAGGTACTCCTCGTGGGAGGCGCTCCTGGCACGGTTCCCGGACGTGATCGTGTCGAAGATGGCGGCCGTGGTCAAGGCCCGCCCGGACGGGTCGCAGAAAGTGCGGCTAATAATCGACATGCTCCGCAGCAGGGTGAACGAGCACGTAAAGATGTCGGAGCGCATTGTGTTGCCGCGCCTGCTGGACGTGCTCAAAGACCTCATGTCCCTTATGGAGGCGCCCAGCGCGAGAGACGTTGGCGTCGACATGATGGTCCTGGACTGGGAGGACGCGTTCCACTCCGTGGGCGTGCGATCGGAGGAGCTACCGCACCAGATCGTGCGCGGCTTCGAGGGGGAGTTCGTCGGGTACGAGACAATCCTCTTCGGCGGCGGCGGTTCGCCGCTCGTGTGGGGGAGGACCGCGGCGTTCCTCGGCCGCTCGGGGCAGGCGCTGTTCTCGCGGCAGGAGGCGCGTATACAGGTGTACGTGGACGACCCTTGGACCGCGTGGCTCGGCAACTCGGCCCAGAGGGCCCGCAACAAGGTGATCCTGCTCCTGTGGTGGCTCACGGTGGGCCCGCCAGTGTCCTGGCGCAAGGTCCAGTTCGGCACCTCCGTGACGTGGATCGGGGCCGAGGTGCGAATCCTTGGCCCGAGCGAGGTGACACTTGCGTTGCCGGACGCCTTTGTGGCCGAGTTGCTCTCTCCGAGGCGGAGCAGTTTCTCGCGGTCACGGTGGTCCCCGTCGCTCGCTTGAGGAAGCTGGCGGGCCGGGCGGCCTGGGCGGGCGGGATTCTCCCGTACCTCAAGAGCATGGTCGCGCCGCTGTGGGCGGCCATCACGGAGGTGTCGACGTCTGCGCGTCCAGGAGCGGCCCCTGCGGGGGTGCCGCGCCCGCGGGTGGCACACGCTCTCCGCTGGCTCACGGCTTTCGCCAAGCGACAGAGGGGGGCCCTGTCGCGCACGTACTGCGTGGGCCAGTACCGCCAGAGGGTGGCGGTCAACCTGGTCTTCGACGCCTCGCCATGGGGATATGGCGGGTATATAGTCGTGCGCGGGCAGGTCTTGTCCTGGTTCGCGGAGGCGGTAACCGCGGAGGACGTGGTGCGCCTTGGGATCCGCGTGGGGGACTCGCGTTTCCAGGCCCTCCTCGAGACGCTGGCCATCCTCATCGGGGTCCGCGAGTGGCTCCCTGCGTGGAAGGACGAGAGGGCCGCCGTCGTGTTGAGGGGCGACTCTCAGGCCGCCTTGGGGGCGACCGCGAACCTGAAGTCGGCGAGCCCCGCCCTCAACGCTGTGGTCAGGGAGCTCTCGCTGGACTTGGCCGAAGGCCGGTACCAGGTGGACGTGGTCGCGCTCCTGGCGGGCAAGGACAATGCCTGGGCCGACGCGCTGTCGCGCCTGCACGAGCCGGGCGGGGCTGCCGAAGTGCCGCGGGCGCTCCTGGCACGACCCCGCACGCGCCCAGCGAAGCGAGACGGCACGTGGTGGGAAACCATGGGCGGCCCCGAACTGGAGCGTTCGGATGGGCGTTAATGGTGGCGTTTTCCTTTTGCAGCTTGCCCCCTGCGAACGCGGGGCGCCTGACGGGGGCCGGCGCGCTGCTGCGCGTCGACGCGCTGGACACCCCAGGGCCTGGGGCGTACAACGTGCCTGGCAGTTCGTCGCTGTGGCGGGCCCTCCAGAGAGCGGGGGGCGTGGCGGCGGCGGCGGCTGCGGCGGCGGCGGCGAGTGGCGCGCAGGGCCCGAGCGCGGCCGCGACCGGAGGGCCCGACGGCCGCGGTGTCGAGGCGCCCGCGCCGGCGGCAGCCGTACGTTGCGACACGGAGCACAGAGGCCAGGGCTTGGCGGCGCCGCAGGGGGCGCTCGACGTCGGCGTGGACACGAGACGCGTCCGGCGACCGCTCGCCGCCGTGCGTCGAGCGTACGCGCGCGGTTCGGGGGCGGCTGCCCGGGCGGTGCTACGGAGCGCCGAAGGCAGGGACCGCGCGCGGAGGACTCTAGCCGCAGGGGTGTTCGCCAAAACCACGTGGCGGTCGCGCAGGTCTCGGGAGCAGACTCTGCGGCGCCTTGCGGGCGAGGCGGGCGTCCCACTGCTGCCGGCCACCCCTGACACAGTCGCCCTCCTCGCAGGTGCGCTGAAAGTGGGGCGGTACCGCACGGGGCCAGAGTACGTTTCCCTGTGGCGCCACCTGCACTGCAAAGCTGGGTTCGCGTGGGGCCCGGAATTGTCCGCGGCGGCAAAGGAGGCCAACCGTAGCCTGCAGCGTGGCATCGGGCCGGCGAAACAGGCAGAGACCGTGCGCTTCGAGGAGGTGCTGGAACGCGCACCGTTGACTGAGCCGATAGCCATAGGCGGCCCGATCCGGCCCACTGACATGGTCATCGTGGCCACGGCGTGGATGCTCCGCGGCGCGGAGGCCGCCGCCATCCTTGGGGAGCAGGCTCGGGTGTCGGCGGATTCCCAGGCTGCGTGCATCGAACTCGGGGCTACTAAGACCAACCCCGAAGGCCGCGAGTGCACGCGCAGCCTGATGTGCTCGTGCGCTGTACCCGGCCAGGCCGGGCTCGCTGAGAAGGCGTGTCCCGTGCGCGCCCTGTTGCGGATCCTGCAGGAGAGGGATCGCAGGGGGTGGGACGGGAAGTTCCCCCTCTTCCCGTCCGGGGGAGGCACCGCGCCCTCGAGGGAGGGGGTCGTGGCCACCCTGCGGCGAGTAGCCGGGGCGGCACGCCTCTCCGAGCATTCGCTCAGGAGAATGGGCGCCCAGTACTACGCGAGGCGTGGGGTTCCCATGGCGCACATCGAGTTCTTGGGGCGGTGGGGAGGGCCCACCGTCCGCAAGTACGTGGGGGGCGCCTTGGGCGAGCGGGTCTCGGAAGCTTCCCGGGTGGCCGCGGCAGGGGGCCCGGGTGGCCGGAGCGATCCGGGGCCCTCGTTGTCAGACCTCGAATCGTTACTGCGAGAGGTAGTAGCGGAGTGTGGCGGGACAACCGTAGAAGCGGAGGTCGAGAAGAGGTGCGCGGCGGCATTTGCTTCCTGGGAGGGGAAGTTGCACGCGGCCTCAGAACAGGCCCACGAGGTGTGGGCCAAGCAATGGGCTGCCGAGCGGAAGGAGCTGGTCGGGGGCGTCCGCAGCACGGAGGGGGAGGTTCACGAGGTGGTTGTGGGTGACGCTGTGTTTCCCACGGACATGTGGGTCGCTCGATGCGGTTGGCGGTTCGGGCGCTCGTGGCACGAGAGGTGCCCGGTCACAGGCGTTTCGTGCAAGAAATGCCTCGCGTCCCGTCAGCGCGCCTTCGGGCAAGTGGGGTGAGCTGAAGGTCGTGGCCCTGCGGCGCACGGACGGGGAGCGAGTTCACCGACTCCCACTTGCGAGGTAAACAGTGCGCCGGCAGCAGTAGCAGCAGCGTTGCTGAGAAGCACGCTTGCGAGCGCAATAGCAACGTCGCGCGTACTGGGCGCGCGCGGAGTTCGCGCGCGGCCGTGCCGGCGCACACGCATACCTGCAGACAGCGTGAGCACGTGTCACCTGTAGTGCTGGAGTGGCGTGTGAAGTGAGGGGTGTATTGATTGTTTGCTTAGGCCGTTGAGTAGGGAGAGGGGCATGTCGTCACGCATTTTGTACATATTTGCGATTGTAGGGTTGAGTTCAGCCAGGGGTGAGTTAGGAGGGGGGGCATGCGGGAGCAGGGCGCCGGTGGCCGTTTTGGCTATAGGCGAGCCGAGCTCGAGACGCGTGCCCCCACCCACCCAGACCCGAATTCAAGTGCAGTTTTCTCTTGAAAATCCCAGGCTCTCGAGGGGGAGCCGGGGTGAGCTGAAGGTCGTGGCCCTGCGGCGCACGGGCGGGGAGCGAGTTCACCGACTCCCACTTGCGAGGTAAACAGTGCGCCGGCAGCAGTAGCAGCAGCGTTGCTAGCTCACGCAACGCTCAAACATGCTCAGGTAAAGCTCAACCGACGCTGAAGAACAACTCCAACAAACGTCCAACGAACCTCAAACACAGTGCAAACGCAACCCAAAACAAAGCTCAATCCAAAATTGTTGACGCTCCGCGTATCTCCACCGGTGGTCGTCTCTTTTTAATTATCTGCAGGTGCACTCTGCGCGATGTCGCGCCAATTATCTGTCGCTGTGCCCCAGCCTCGGTCAGACCGCCCTCTGGACTTCTCCTTGCGGGCCGCGAATCAAAAAAGCGTATCTCCACCAGCCGCCTACCGCTCCCTGTCCGCTGCCTCGGAGCCGCCGACCAAAAAAGTATTTCCACCAGCACTCAAGTCGTCCGGGCGTTTGGAGCCTGGCGCCCCACTGGCGACTCACTCCAATGGCCTTCCACTTGCTCCCACTCAGCACGACGGACTTGACCATCCTGGTTCACGTCTCTACTGTGTGGGTCGTGCCCCCGCTCAGATTGACGGGCTTGGTTATCCTGGTTCACGTCTCATACTGTGGCAGGCTCCGGATTCCATGACACTTTGTCTGTGCACGTGCTCGAGCTCTCAGGATACTACCCCTGCCGTCAGCTCCCCTTCAGCTTCGCGGCTGCTTTGTGAGCGGGCCGGCCGGCATGTGCCTGTTGTAGCTAATTCGCCTCGCTCGTGCCCCGGACTTTGCTTCTTGCCGCCTGACCTTTGTCTCGCGGTCGCGACCGAAAAATGTATCCCCACAAGCCAATGCAGAAACGATGCCAAGGGGAGTTGAGGTGATCAGGGAAGTGGGGGAGCATGCAGAAGAACAAAGGGCGGGGTAAGCCGTCCTAGGTGGGGGAGGGAGAGGAGGGAGGAGGGAGGAGAATGAGGAGGAGTAGGTGGGCAAGGAGGAGGATATGAAGGAGGGGGGAGGAGGAAAAGGATGATGATGATGCTGATGATGATGATGAGGAGGAGGATGATGAGGAGGAGGAGGAAACGGAAAAAGGGACGAACAAAAGAGCCTTTTTCGGATGTCTCTTGTGTTTCTTGGGTGGCTTTTTTGAATGTTTGGAGGCCTCTGAAAAAAAGGCCGTCATATGCGAAATGGCGAGAAAGCAAACACACATGGATGTGCCCTAGTTTTCGGAAGGATGTCGGCCTCTTCGGGGCTTCCTTGGAGAGTTGTTTGGCCACTGGGAGGCATCTTGGAGCTGTCTTGGGTCCTCTTGGAGCATCCATTTTCGGAGCCATCTGGAGTCATCTCGGGATATCTTGAGCCATCTTGGAGAAATCTTGGACATTGTGGACGCTCCAATCGCTCGCGGGATTCCCACGTCCAGGTCCAAGGGGGGGGTAGGGGGGGTACCCCCCCCCGAAAGGGGAAGAGGGGCAAACAGAAGACAAGACACACACGACCACCACCTACGCACTACAGGGGTGGTGGGACTCAAACAAAGCTCCAACAAAACCCAAACGAAACTCAAGCGAAGCTCAAACACAGGTGCCCCACTCCTCCCCCCCCCCTCGATTCGAACCTGGGAGGCGCGGGGGGGGGGGGCTCTGTGACCACCCAAAAAAAAACAGCTCCCCCCTCGGTTTCCGGGCAGGGGGGATGTCAACCCTCCCCCGTGGTTCGAACCATGGGGTGGGGGGCTTCTGCGTTCCCCCCCGGTTTCAGGACAGGGGGGGGGGGTCCAGCCAGGCGACGGCACAGTGGAAACCCATGCCAAGAAACACCCTGCTTGCCTCCAGGATGCCCTGGGTTTCTTGGGTTTCGATGGTTCTGCCATGGAAAGCGTGACCTTCCCACACCAGACATCGATGGACGCCCTGGGATCTTCGGGCTGGGTTTTTTGTGGGAGCTTCCCTGTGGATTGGCCTCCGCTGTAGATCGCGCTGCCCCGCCTGGCTTCATCCACGCGCAGAAAGGGGAGGGGGGAGGGGGGAGGACTTTTTAGAGGCACCCCTGCTTCTCAGAAGGCGCGGGCTCATATATATATATATATATATATATATATATATATATATATATGTGTATATATATATATACGTATCTGTATCTGCAGATGTATAGATATGTGTGTGTGCGTGTGTGTGTGTGTTTTTTTTTTTTGTGTGTGTGTGTGTGTGTGTAAGGCCGGCGCCTCCTAAGAAGCAACCTCCTTCTGAGAAGCCATCCCCCCTCCCTCCACCCCCTTGTGCTCGCCGCCGCTAGCTTCTGAGCCCCCCTGCCGCAGATTTCCTTCGGGCCGGCGGCGGTGCACCGCACCCCCCTTGGGAACAGCCGACGACCTCGGCCCTCGGGCTCTGCGCGGTGCCCTGCGGGTGTGACGTGCGCGGGCGTGGTGCCGCCTGGTCGCCCCGCAAGCACTCCTCCTCCTCCTCCTCCTCCTCCTCCTCCTCCTCCTCCTCCTCCTCCTCCTCCTCCTCCTCCTCCTCCTCCTCCCCCCTCCCCCCTCCTCCTCCTCCTCCTCCTCCTCCTCCTCCTCCTCCTCCTCCTCCTCCTCCCCCTCCTCCTCCCCCTCCTCCTCCCCCACAATTGCACAATATGAAAATACTCTCCCACTTCCCCTGGTGGCGTCCCGAAGATATCCGACCCCCCCCCGCGTAGTGTTTTTTAACACAGGATTCCCGGGAAACGGGTTTTCGCTTTTCTTTTTTTTTGTTTTGTTTTTTTTTTTTCAAAATGCTGCTCTCGCCGAGGCGCCGGCCTCATTTTCGGGCCCCGCTCGTTCCGAATCGTGCTCCCGCTGCAGCGCTGGCCTCATTTCCGTGCTTCCGCTCGTTCCGAATCGTGCTCCCGCTGCAGCGTTGGCCTCATTTCCGCGCTTCCGCCCGTTTCGACTCGTTCCTCGCTGCAGCGCTGGCGTCATTTCCCGTGCCATGCCACAGCACACGCGCACACACGCACACACACACACCACCACACCACCACCACCACCACCACCACCACCCACCACCACCACCACCACCACCACCACCACCACCACCACCACCACCACCACCACAACCACGCACACACGCACGCACGCACGCACGCGCACCACCACCCACTAGTCCGCGGATAGAGAAAATCAGCGCCATGGTAAGGGATGGGAGGGAGGGGTAGGACGTCAGATATGACGCGCGCGCACCTAGCTTGCCCCCCTCCCCCTCCCCCTCCCCCTCCTCCTCCCCCTCCTCCCCCTCCCCTCCCCCTCCTCCCCTCCTCCTCCTCCTCCTCCCTCCTGCTTCCTCCTCCTCCTCCTCCTCCCCCTCCTCCTCCCCCTCCTCCCCCTCCCCCTCCCCCTTTCTCCCCCTCCTCCTCCCCCTCCTGGGCTCGCTTCGCGGCTGGTTTGGCCGAGTGCAGTTTCCAGCCCGCGCGGCAGAGCGTGGCCGTCAGCGGCCGCCTCTCTCGCGCCTTTTGTCCCGCCCGCGTGCGCGTCCGGGCTCCGAGTGGCGCTGGGGCGGAGGGCCGAGTGGAGCGGCTCGACTGGCTACCCGTTCCTCAGAGGAGGGAAGGTACCCATACCATACCCCTACCTTGCCCCTCTTTTTCCCCCTTCTTGGGGCCTCCTGGGAGGACCTAGTCGGATTCGCTCTGAAGGTCTGGTCAGAACGGGGGAGGGAGTCAGGTGTAGAGGAGAATCTGCGGGTGGAGGGATGGAGGTGCGAGGCGGGAGTACGGAACGGACAGGGTTGGAGGTGGGAGGAGGGGAGGGAAGAGGGAGTAGGACGAGGGATGCACGACCTTGGTCGAGAGACGAGGAGCAGAGGGGATTCGGAGGAGGCGGATAACCACGACGACGACCACGATGTCTTCCTCTTGCGATCCCGTGAGGTCCTCGTTTATCCTCAGAAGTCCAAACGTGCTTCTTCCGACTCCCTTGGAATTATCGGCCCTCGGCCTTCGACATCGACTTGCGGCAACGACGACGACGACGCTGCCCAGAATGTCGCCCATGATGCAGCGCTACATGAAGTCGCAGACCACCTCCAGCTCGCAGGACAGCGCCTTCGCCATGGGCTCCCGGAACCAGGCCGTCCGGTACTCGCCGTCCTCGTCGGCCTCGTCGTCGTATTCGTCCCCCTCGTCGTCGTCCTCCTCTTCCTCGCCCGTTGCCCTCGCCGGCCCCCTAGTTACTCCTCCGCCCAGCGCGCTCCTCTGTCCCCTCCCTCCGTCCCCTCCCGCCTCCCCCGCCCCCTCACCACGCCCGTCGGAATGGCGCGCGAGCGCTCTGCCCCTGCGGCAGGCCGCGCCGCCTGCCCTCGCGCGGACACGGCACGCCCTGCGCGCGAGGCCAGCGGCCAACAGCATGCCCCCGCCCGCCCGCCCGCCCGCACCCCTCGTCGGCTCCCCCCTCCCCTCCGACCTTGCCCCCCCCTTCTCGCTCTCGCCCTCTGCCTCCCTCCCTCCCTGACTATCCTCCAGGCAGCTCCATCCCCCCCGTCTCCTCCCTCCTCCTTCCCATGCCCATCCTCCTCCTCTCTCGCTCCCTCGTTCTCCCTCCTCCCAGCTCGTCCCTCATCCTGCTCCTCGCTCCTGCCGGTTCTGGGGAGGCAGGGTAGGTGCTGATGGGGATCATCGCCAGCAGGGAGTGTGCACCTCGTCGCAGCCCTCTCGGCCCGAGGGGTGCGCAGGCGAGGGCCTAGTTTCCCCGCCCCCCTTCCCCGTCATACGCCATCCGTCTGACCTAACATTCGTCTACTCTGCCCCGTGTGCCGGCATGCCTAAGGAGGGAAAAAGAACACACAGACACAATTAACCGTCGATACCCCAGAAAATATGGGAAAACATGGGAAGTGGGGGGGAAGACCGACCCCCCCAAAAAACATGGGGACATGTGGCGAATCCTTTTATGTGTGTGTGTATTCATTTGTGTGTCCTGGGGCCCCTTCATATTCGTCTGTGCTGCCCTGTGCGCCGGCACGCCGAGCAACCGGCTGGGCCCCGGCCTCTCCTCGGGCTCCGCCCGGCCCGTGTCGGCCCCGCTGCGGCCGGCGGCAGTCCTGGGTCCAGGTCTCTGGCAGGGGGCCCCGTGCCCCGTGCTCTCCCCACGGACGGGGGGGGGGTTGTCAGGAGGGGAACAAAACACACAGCCACAAGTAGTCGTCGATCCCCAGGAAGATATGGGAGAATGTGGGAAGTGGGGGGGGGAAGACAAACACCGAGAAACTATGAGAAAGCATGGGGAATCTTTTGATCTGTGTGTACTTCTTTGTGTGCCCCAGGGCCCCTTCGGTTCTTTGGATCGGTCGGAGCCCACGTTGCCACATGCGGTGCTCCTCACACCAAGCTCCCCCCCCCAACCACAGGTCAAAGATTGCGGCTAGGGCACTTCTTCCTCACGCCTCGCCTTCCCGCTGTTAATCCTCCTCCTCCTCCTCCTGCTTCCCTTCCTGCTCCTCCTGCTCCTCCTCCTCCTCCTTCGTCCCTCCCTCCCTTCATCCCCTTCGCTGGGCCCTCCCTGCGTCCCTTTCCTGGCGTCCTCCCTTCCTCCTCTCCTCTCCTCCCTGCCCCTCCGTTCCTCTCTTGGTCCCCCGCGGCAAGGCGATCTTGGAAATCAACCCCGAGCACCCGGTCATCCAGAAATTGAGGACGATGCAGCAGACCGCTCCCGATTCCGAGGATTTGGGTCGCCAAAGGGATAATCAAGTGAATCGAGAAGTTATCTGATGATGTGTTGTTTAGCCTCAGGATGGTACCAAGAGGAAGAGCAGGAGGAGGAGGAGGATCCAGCGTCGAGGTTGTAGGGTGTCTGTTTTGCGTATTTTCTGTGCCTCCCGGGTTGCTTTCGTCGCCACGGTTGGATTCGCTTTGAGATTCCGCTAGGAACGCACCGCAGGAGAGTTCTTGAGTCGATCTGTGAGGGAAGAGAAGGAACAGGAGGGAGGGGGAGGCGGACGAGGAGGAGCAATCGCAGAAAACAAATCGTCTTCGGCGATGCTCGACAGTTTACTGTATGTTTGGACGTTTTCCGTGCGTGTTCAAATTGTTTCGGGCGGCTTCGGGAGGCAGACGAGGAATGGCCGAGGGAGGAGGAGCAGGACAGTGGGGGGATGAAACGGGGGAGTGGAAGGGGAAGGAATTGGAGAAGTGGCTATGAGCACGAGGCGGATGAGTATGGAGGAGCAGCAGGAGGAGGAGGAGGGGGAGGAGAGAGGAGGAGAGGAAGGAAGCCAGAGGGAGGGCGGAGGAGGACGAGGAGGAGGACCAATGACCAGCGTAAATCCAAGACTCATCAAAGATGTTGCAATAATCCTCCCCCCTGCAAGCTCCCTGCAAAGATTTATTTTCACAACGGGAAGTGTCCTGTCGGACGACAACCGTTTGAACATCTTCAACGCCACGAATCAATTGCACGGTTGCGTCCTGGCGATCCAGAGTTGCACCAGAAAGCACTTCAGATGAACGTGATTGTCGCGTCCTGACAATACGAAATCGTGCCATAGCACAATTTCTGGGACGCCAATCATAAGATTTCTCCATACTCTCGCATTTGGTTTAAAACGAATGCGCGCAGCGCAAAGGCGAGAGCCGCATTTCAAAATCTGCCCGCAAATGATCCGTGAAACTCTTGCGAAATGTTGAGGCGAATGCGCGTGGCTATAAGGCGAGAGCCGCATGTCGAAAACCACCCGCGCTTTACCTGTGTCATCTTGCAAATGTTTAAGACGAATGCGCGCGGCGTTGAGGCGAGAGCCACATCTTGAAAGCCACCCTTGCTTTATCCGTGAAGTTTTTTCAGACTGTAAGACGAATGTGCGCGGCGTTGGGGCGAGAGCCACATGTTGAAAACTATCCGCCCTGCATCCGTGAAGCTGTTGCGAATTTCAAGCTCCAGGATGACAAATGATTGGGGACCTCTCGAGTGACATTCCCGGCCCGCCCTACCGACCCGTCTCGGGGTGCGACAGGGAGGAGTCGTTTAGGAGGGCGAGCGGTGGTGGAGGAGGAAGAGAAGGAGGTGGGGGAGGAGGAGGGGGAGGAATACGATTAGCATGAGCAGCAGCAGCACCCGAACTCCTTGGAATGGGAAAGAGCAGCCACGGACAGCCTTACGTAGGAACGCGGTTTTTGATGATGATCTCCGCACTTCCGGTTTCGGGCCTTGTTCAAGGAAGACGCGTCTCGTTGCCTAAAGAGCTGCGGCCGCAAATAACAAAGTCCGAGGCGTCGCTTGGCACGGCCATGCTGGCATGTGAGAGGACACTTTATTTATCAGCCGATATCCGAGGCGGGAACGTATACATGACCACCGCCTGAAGGGTCAGTTTTCGGAGCTTCGGCAGGCGGTGGATACGGACATAGTTGGGCCCCCAGGGGCCGAAATACATCCATGTCCACCGCCCACTTGGGCACCAGGACGTCGGTTCTCGAGCGGTGGATATGGATAAATCGCAAGAGAAAGAGAAACGACGACGCAGGGACGACATGACGGAGTCCGCGGAGTGGAGGAAACGAGTCCACCTGCCCTGCATTGTCGTCGCCGGCGCCGTCGTCGTCGTCTTTGTCGTCGTCGTCTTTGTCGTCGTCGTCTTTGTCGTCGTCGTCGTCGTTCCGCGCGCCAGGCGCCCCGCGAGCGCAGGGGCAGGCCCGAGCCTCTCGGCCCCTTGTGCGCCTCGGCTCCGCGCGCGGGGCGCTCGCTCCCTGCGCGCGGCCTGCCCCCCCGTGGCCGCGCGACTGCGCGCGGCCAGCGCGGCGACGAGCCGCCCCCTGCGCCCGCGCCTGCGCCTGGCCTTGGGTCGGGCATGTCCCTCTACAGGAGGAAGCTTCCAAGACAGTCCAAACATAAGGAGGGGACGATTATATAATATGTATATATACAGATATATATATATACATACAGATATACATAAATATTATGTTTTTGACTATGTTTTAACTCTCGCCCCGGATCCGCCTGTGGGACGACGGGGACGTACCCGACCCGAGCCTTGCCTGCGGGTCGGCGCGCAGCCGCCGCGCGCCGTCGGGCGGCGAGTTCCGCCGCCTCGCGCGCGCCTCGGCCAGGCGGAGCTCAAGGTCCGTGGGCTGCCTGGCGGGCCGCGTGCCGTGAGACTTCGTGTCGCTGCGAGGGCCGTGTGTGTGTCCCTGGGTTGCTGCTTGCACCGCCGCCTGATCCGCGGCCCCCGCGCGCGCCCCCGGGTAATTCGTCACGGCCGCAGCCCGACCGTGACCCGCCGCCGCTGGCGCTTCCGCCTGCGGCTGTAAAAAAAAAGGCTGTGCCTGTGTGTGCGCACCCCCTCCCGCCGGCCCTGCCCTCCGCGGTGATGCCTAAGGAGGCCCCGCCGCCTCTCGGTAGTTCGTCTCTGCGCGGCCCACTCTGACTCGGCTCGCCGTTGGCGCTTTCGCTCGCGGCTGCCGACTAAAAAAGCTGCGAGTGCGACTGTGGGAACCGCTTCAAATCCGGGAAGAGAACCCAGACAAGGTTCAATCGGGCACGTCCCTCTACAGGAGGAATATTTGTCAGAAAATAATATGGGGACGATGATTGCGCATTTGTTTTGAAGATTTTTTGCGTATTTCTGATCTGTCCTCCAAAATCTGTTTTTTTGGGGGGCATGCCCGACCTAAAGACAAGGCTGGGGCGTCCTGGAGGCGCCGGCGTCGCGGCGCCCGGAGTGTTGCAGTGGGGGGAGGGCAAGCAGGGCCGCCAGTGCGCGATCGGGGAACCAACAGTGATCCGAGACGGCCGAGAGACGGGCGCCAAGGCCGCCAACATGGCCCAGGATGCCTCCAAGAGGGCCCAAGATGGCCACACGGCGGCCCGGCATGGCCTCCAGACGTCTGGCTCTCCTTACGATCCGATGGGTTCGCTGCGCTCCGATGCAACGGTTGGGGCCGCGATTCCGATCCGAGTCGGTTCGGTCGGACTCGCCAGTGTCAGCGTGGGGCCGCCCGGGCCGGGCCCGGCGATCGGACGTCGATTCGACCCGGGACGATGTGTGTGACGATCCGCCGTGTCTCCGACTGGCACCGCTCGGATGTGTGCATTTTCCTCGGCGGGGACCATCGAGGAGCACTTTGGATCATCTTGCACCTTCTGCGCCGTCTTCGGTTCGCGAGAGGGCGTCGCGGCCGTCATTTATGCGGGTCCAGGTCCGTCGGTTTCAGTTCTAGGCCGTTTTCCCTAAAGGGAGGTTTATTAAAAGGGAGGTTTGTCCACCGCCGAGAAAAACGGACCTGCGCGCCCTCGCCGTCCTCCATCGCCAGGCCGTGGGGGGACACTTTTTGGGTCGGCGGCGACTTTCGTAAGTCGGGCATGTCCCTCTGCAGGAGGAATTTTCAAACATGACACAACACAGGATCGGGACTATTCTTGATTATTTCTTGACTATGTTGTCAGTGTTCGCCCGGATTCCGCCTGTAGGAGGACATGCCCGACCTAAGACTTGTCTCCAAGAAGCGGTCGGAAAGCACTGGGGCGCAGTGGCAGACTGCTTGGGGCACAAGGGGCGAGCGCCGGGGCGAGAGCGGGCGGCTGGGCCGTATGGGAGCGAACAGTGCCAGAAGCATAAAAATTCGGAGTTCCGCGCGGATTCCTCGGGATCGGCGCCGGGGCCCCGTGGTTGCGCCTCCTGTGCCACCCCTGGGGCAATCCGCGCGCCAGGGAGGGGGTCCAGCGCCGATCCAAGAAATCCGTGCGGACCTCCAAAAGTTTATGCTTATGCGGTCTTGCCTTCTTCTAGAGAGGCGGGGATCAAGGGGTGCCGCGTGCAATCGGAAGTCACAAGGAGGGCATCGACGCCTGGAGCATCATTGGCTTTACACGTGCCAGGTTGCCCAGTAAGATCACGCCGACGCGGACATGCCAGAGCGCAAGCAACGGTGCCTGGGCGCGATGGACCAGGCCAAATTGGAGAGATGCGCAGTCCTCCAGAGAGCTCACAACCCACAAATATCCCAGGTTGGGGTATACGTTTTTCCTTTCGTCACCTGCTTCTCGATCAGTGTTGCCTGGTCTGGTGTCGACGAAACTACCGCGGAGTCGAGCGGCGAAAGGAGGGGAGGACGAAAATTAGGAGGAGGAGGGCGAGGAGGTTGGGAGCAGGAAGAGGAAGAGGAGGAGGAGGAGAAGGAGGAGGGACGAGGAGGAGGAGGAGGAGGGACGAAAAGAAGGGGAAGGAGGAGGAGGAGGAGGAGGAATAGGACGGACATTTTTAGGAGGAGGAGGACGACGACGACGAAAAGAAGGAGGATGGTGAGGAGGCTGGGAGGAGGATGAGGAGGCAGAGGAGCAGGGACGAGGAGGGAGTCAAAGATGAGGGAGGACGGGGAAGCAGCGAGAGAGAGCGAGAGAGAGAGAGAACAAGCAGGGAGGAGAGGGGGAGCGAGGCGGAGCACATGGACGCATGATGGGGAGGGCTGATGATTCTGAGACGGGAGGAGGGGCACGGGGGAAGGAGGAACGGGGAAGGGCCAGGACCCGTGGCGCAAAAGGCGATCGTTTCCTTTTGCGCGCGCTCGGCGCCCATCGAGAGGAGACGGAGGACATGGTCATGATGGTGTACGAGACTGCCGCCCTCATCGGCGGCTACAACATTGAGGACCCCATCTATCTGCCATCCTCACTGTGGTGCGCTGGCCGCAGTCGTAGTCCTCCTCCTCCTCCTCGTCCTCCTCCCCCTCCTCTCATACCCTCCCTCCTGCTCTATCCTGCCCCCCTCCTTCCCGCTCCTGTCCGTCCTGCCGGTCCCTCTCCCTTATAATCCCCCTTCCGCGCCCTTCTTCGGCTTCTCCTCGCCTCCCCAATCCCTCCCCCGCCCTCATGCTGCTCCCCCCCATCACTATCCTTCTCCTCCTTCTCCTCCTCCTCCTCCTCCTCTTCTTCATCCTCCTCCTCCTCAAGAACCGTTCTGGCTCAACTGCGCCGCGGCGCCTTTGGACCGCGCTCCGCACCTTTGCGAGGTGTTCTTCACGATGGGCTGCGCCGCCGCGCCGCGTGCCGTGGCGAGCCCCAGCTAAGGCGGAGCAGAGCAAGCAATGACCTGCTGATGTGGGCCCTCCCCTGCGGCGGCCGCTGGTGCTTGTGCGGGGCGGCCTACTGGCAGGCGCCCTCGGGCCCGCCGCCAGTGCTGGAGGTCGCCCACCGGTGGGCGGATCAGGGCCAACCTCGGGAGCCTTGAGACGGGGGTCAATGCAAGCGGGGGTCCTGCGAAGACCCCCTCTGGCTGACCCGGGTTAGCGAGCCGCTCGTGGCCGCGAGGCGGCCGCGCAGATTGGTTGACCCGGGTTTGCGAAGACCTGCGTGGCAGTTTTTGTTCCTGCATTGCGGACTTTTGGTTTCCTGCTGAGGAGGAGGTGGAGGTGGAGGTGGAGGTGGAGGTGGAGGAGGAGGAGGAGGAGGAGGAGGAGGAATAGGAGGCGGACGACTACGACGACGACGAGGACGAGGACGACGACGACGAGGACGACGACGACGACGACGACGACGATGACGACGACGACGACGACGACGACGACGACGACCGTCGAGGACCCTGGCGAGTTCGCCAAGCGCGTCACCAAGCTCATGGTGAACATGGGCCCAGAGCCAGGCAGCGCTGGGGTCGTGGACGCTGAGGCCGCGTGAGCAGCCGGCGCCGTCGCCCTCGCCCTCGCCCGCCCTCTCGTCGTCGGGCTTGGCCCTCGTCATCGTCCTGAGGTCGTCGTCGCCGTCGCGAGGCCTGCCCTCGTCGTCTTCATTCGCCTCCAGGGTGGTGGGATGGGGCGCATGGCGGGGCCCAGACACCCGACGATCCGATTCCCGACCCCTCCTCCCCCACCTCCCTTCTCAGCATGTCGCGTGCGCCTCGCCCACCCACTGCAGCGTTGCGTGGCCCCAGAGGGAGCTCCACCGAAGGTCCAAGTTGCGTTGCCCGAATGCGTCTCCCACACCCGGCACAGCGTTTCGCCGGCCATAGGGAGTTCCACCGAAGGCCCCAGTGGCGCAGCCCGCATGCGTCTCCCGCACCCAGTACAGCGCATCGGGGCCACATAGGGAGCTCCACCGAAGGTCCCAGTGGCGCAGCCCGCATGCGTCTCCCACCCCATAGGGAGCTTCACCGAAGGTCTCAGTGGCTCAGCCCGCTTGCGCCTCACACACCCATCACAGCGGTTCGTGGCCCCATAGAGAGCTCCACAGAAGGTCCCAGAGACGCAGCCCGCATGCCTCTCCCCCACCGAGTACAATGTTTCGTGGCCCCATTGGGAGCTCCACCGAAGATCCAAGTGTCGCAGCCCGCATGCGTTTCCCCCACCCAGTACAGCGTTCCGTGACCCCACAGGGAGCTCCACAGAAGGATCCAGTGGCGCAGCCCGCATGCGTCTCCCACACCCAGTACAGCGTGCCGTGGCCCTTATAGGGAGCTCCAACGAAGGTCACAATTGCGCAGCCCGCGGCGTCTCCCACACGCAGCCCGCATGCGTCTCCCACACCCAGTACAGCGCTTCGTGGCCCCATGTTGAGCTCTCCCCCATCCAATACAGCGCTTCGTGGCCCAGTAGGGAGCTCCACTGACGGTCCCGGAGGCGCAGCCCGCATGCGTCTCCCCCACCGAGCACAGCGCTTCGGGGTCCCATAGGGAGCTCCACCGAAGGTCCCATTGGCGCATCCCGCATGCGTCTCCCACACCCGGCACAGCGCTTCGTGGCCCCATGTGGAGCTCCAACGAAGGTCCCAGAGGCGCTGCCCCCAAGCGTCTCCCACTTCCAGCACAGCGCGTCGTGGCCCCACATGGAGCTCCACCGAAGGTCCCAGTGGCGCAGCCCGCATGCGACTGCCCCGCCCAGCACATGGGGAGCTCCACCAAAGGTCCCCCCAGTGTCGCAGCCCGCATGCGTCTCCCCCGCCCGGTACAGCGCTTCGGAGCCTTTTCGGTGGGCCCCACCGAAGACGATACCTGCAACTGCGACCAAGCTGATTTTTGTCACTCCGGGCGTGTTGGCTTCCGTTCGGCCTTTGGGGCCCGTTGTCGGTCCTGGGGGTTACCGAACAATTGATCCGGGATGCAACACCCCTCCCCCGGGGAAGGAGTCTGGAGATCTGGAGGCGCGGATTGAGATTAGTTCGTTTGCTTCGAGCGGTCCCCACCCGAGAACGCGAGGCGGCATCCCCATGGAGCAGTGGCACCCTTGGGGCCTGGCGGCCGTAGCATGCAGTTGTCACTCGTCGAACACGCGAGGCTGGACACCCTCAGGGAGTATCTGGACACTTTGGGCCTGGCGGCCACGGTACGCACGGTGTGCGAGGCGGGTCGGGAGTGTTTAATATAAACCTGGCGACCCCAACTTGCGGGGTTGGGAAACTCTTGCAGTCAAGACGAAATGTTGACCGCTTCGCGTACCCCCACCAGCCTGTCCCTGGCATGTGCATGTGCCCTGCGTGTGTTGTCCGCTGGAATCCGCGGCAATCTCGCGCCAATTATCTTCGTACCGCGCCCCAGACGTTGTGCTCGCTCCCTGTCTCTTGCCTTGGAGCCGCGAACCAAAAAAGTATCCCCACCAGCCGATTCAGGAAGGCTGACCATGAGAGTTGATACCCTCTTGTGGTTCTCTTGGGGCTCTCTCGGGACCCTCTTGGGGGCAACGAGTAGGCGGACGAAAAGGAGACGGAGGGGGATTACGATGGCAAGAACGAGGACGGGGACGAGGACAAGGAGCAGGAGGTGGAGGAGGAAGACGACGACGACGACGACGACGAGGACGAGGACGAGGACGAGGACGAGGACAATGACGAGAAACACGATGACGAGGATGAGGACGACCAAGAGGAGGAGGAGGAGGAGGAGGAGGAGGAGGAGGAGGAGGAGGAGGAGGAGGACACCGAGGACAAGAACTCGTTGAGCGAGCTGAGGACTTTTTTGTGACACTCTTGGGATCATCTTGGGGTTTGCTTTGGGTCCTCTTGGGGCTCTTTTGGAAGGCCCTGGGGTCCTCCTAGGGCTCCATTAGTGTGTCCGGGGGCCCTCGTCGGGCCCTCTTGATGCATACCAACGATTCCAAGGCAATCGTGTTTTTTCAGGGTCGGTCAAAACGAATCAATCAGTTGGAGAATGTGTTAGTGTATGGGAGGGGTGCGACTCCCGTCGTTGAAGCGTTGCTGTTGTGTTTGTTTATTTGTTATGGTAGGCTCTAAAAACTTGGGTCCCTCTTGGGGGCCTTGTGTAGGGCGTCGATCAGAGGAGGGTGCGTCCTAGATTTGCCTCCCCCTCGGGGGCCATCAAAGTCACCTCTTGGGGCGCTTTTGGGGCTTCTGGGGGCGCTCTGGGGCCGACCTTTTGGGTGCCCTTGGGGCTGTGTTTTTTTTTTTGCCTCTTGAGCCTCTCTTGGGGCCCTCTTGGGGCCCTCTTGTCAGAGCGTGAATTACCTACCCCGCTTTCGCTTCCAGGCAAAACCAAACCATACCACGCGCCTCCTCGTCAAGCGGTCTGATCAGTACAGGCTGCAATTTGGCATCGTTTGGTATCTCTTGGAAGCGAGGGTGGTCAAAAGCGAGGGAGGTTTGTTTTCCCCCTATCTTGGGCCAGCTTGGGGCCATCTCGAGACCTCCGAAGCCCATCGTTAGTGACAAGTCCAAAAAAGGCAAAATTCAGTGAGCTCCTATCATGTCTTCTTTAACGAGGTTTGCTTCTTTGGGGGGCTCTTGAGGCAGCTCCGAGAGCGCTCGGAACCGTCTTGTGGCCCTCGTCGGGCCTCTTCGAGGTATGCTGGAAGCCATTTTGTAGCATCGGACGCCCCCTTGGAGCCATCTTGGGCGAAAAAGGAGCCTCTGCCACTTCGTGACCCCCAGCAAAGGCATCATGGAGGGGGAGGGGGAGGGAGGGTACCCCTCCCCGAAGGGACGAGAGCTCTGGACGGGGAGGATCAGACATCGTCTTGACCGCCGACGCCCAGAGGGCTGGCGGGATCGGGACCACTCGGGGCTCGGGAGGGGGCGCCTGGTGCTGAGGCCGCCCCTGGCACTGCCGGGTCGGGGGACGCAGCTATGCGTGGCCGAGGCCCGCCGTGGTGCCGCCGAGAAGCCCCGTCGCTCCTCGCGCCGCGCCCCTCGTGGTGCCACGAGGACTGCAAGCCCCACTGCTGCCCCCTGCCTGCAAGTTGCTCGCCGAATGGGTTGCAGGAGAAGGCGCCGAGGAAATACGAGGAGGAGGAGGAGGAGGAGGAGGAGGAGGAGGAGGAGGACTGAGGCAAGGATGGAGAGAGAAGTGGGAGGAGTGGGAGCAGCACGGCGGACAGACAGGGGATGCGGGGAGTAAGAGGATGCGGGGAGTGAGATTTCAGGAGGATGAGCAGGCGGACTAAGAGGGGGGAGGGCGGGAAGGAGGTGGAGAAGAATTGCTGTCGATGGTGTGGGAAGGTTTTGCGCAGGAGACTCTGCTCATTACCCTTTCCTCCTTCCCGCTCCTCCTCTCCTACAGCTCCTCCCGGTTATCACTACGTGATGGCGGAAATCCTGGAAATCCTACAGCTCCTCCCTCCTCCCAGTGCTTTCCCGCCCCTTCCTCGCCACCTCGGCGGCGCCAGTTTTGCTTTCACCTGTCTGGCCCAGCGATCCCGGGATTGTCCGGGATCTCCAGGCTAAGCAGCCGGGGGCTGCCCGAGGCGTTCCTGGCCCAGGGTGTCGTTGCAGCTCTCCGCGCGGTTCTGGAGCTCACGGGGCCCTGCGGGCCCAGGGAAAGGCGCTCTGGAGGACCCCCCCCCCCGGGCCAGCCGGGAAACCCTGGGCCAG